CTGTGGGTGAGTGACCCTTCCCTCGCTCTCAGGGTGGTGCTTGTAGCTCTTCCAGGTTCCTGCCAGTCGTCACGGGGTGCCTGACAGCTGCTCAGATACGCACACACGGGGGCTTTATTTAACAGCAAAAGAGATTCGGTTCTGAGGGATTTAAAGGGTGAGCGGTACTCGGGATAACCGTTCCGGCCCACAAAAGCCTGCAGATCGTGTTATTGAAGGGATTGCTGGGGAAAGGTTGGACCTAGTGTTTTTAAAAGGTTGTCCCAAAGAAGGGTGTGAAGGAGAGGAGTGTTTGCAAAACAGAGGGAATGGGCAGGTTTTTGGAAGCGCAGGAGCTGGGAGGACAGTGGTTAGAATTAGTTACAGTCAGTTATCAAATAACCAATGGGCTTATCAAACAAAACCAAAACGTCCACATCTAAATTTTTTGGGGAAAACCCCTTCCATTAATACTCTTTTTTCACTACTATTCAGCCTATTTCTCTCCTTCCAATTATTCCGGTACAGTTGGTGCTCTGGCAGGGATGTGTACATTTGGGGTGTAACTGCCTCTTGTCTGTTATCTCTTAAAGCGTGGCATAGGTTGCAAATCTTACACAGTCCTGAGCCGGCCTCCTTTGGAGACTCGCTGCTGTAAAGCACAGGCTGCGCTTACGTATTTGCCAAAACAGTAAGTGCTTGGCACCGATTCCTTCGGCATGTTGTCGTGGCAGTACGTGGGGCCCCAGAAAATATTACTTCGGGGCACTTATCCTTCTGGTGTTGTCAAAACTGCCTATAAAATGAAATTACTGATTTATTTTTTTAACATAGCATTGGATGGTAGCAAATATATAAGGACACAAACAAACAAACATGGAGATACGTCAGCTACAGTAAAAAAGAGAGCAATATTTGCCTTTGGGTACCATTTTTCTTTTGACTTCTCCTAAAGGTCAGTCGTGAAAAGAAGTGGTGACTCAACATAGATCTTCCAAGACTGCCAGCTTTCCCTTGAGATAGGTGTGATATTTCTTAGTAATTTCTCTGCTGATGGAGCATGTTAAATCTGCCACTGCTGTGCTGCCGTCGTGAAGCAAGCAGGACCGGTTGCTAGAAGGAGTAGGAGTGAATGTGGGCCGGTTGCCTCATGTTTCTGTAAAAGAAGTTCTCTGGGTAAAAATGGAATCCCTGCAAAACATGGGTGATATTTTTGAAATAATTTATATCAAACAAATCCTTCGGAAATAGAAGAGAGTGTCCAAGAAGAGTGAGTTTTAATTTTTTATGGGTTCATTACATTGGTGTCCTTATTCGTTAAAATCCCGTTAAAGTAATTACTCTTAAAATATTCAAATGTTATGAAATTTAAATCGACATATAAATAACTGTGAAAGATTAGCTGGAAACTCGACTTGAGCTGTGATTTTCTGCGAAACAGCCGCAGGGAGAGATGTGAGCCTTTCCTTATCACAGCGCCTTGAGGAGACCATCTACGAATTTATTTTGAATAGCTTTGCAGCCTCTTTCCCAATTTCTTAGAACCCGACGTGGTGGTGAGAAGGCAGGAAGCTTTGGCAGCAGCTCGCCTCAGGATGCAAGAGGAGTTGAACGCACAAGCGGAGAGATACAAAGAAAGACAACGACAGGTAACCGGAGAGCGTTTCGTTCTTTAACTCCTGGATTTGTCATCAGGCACTTTGCCGATGTTTTGGAGAGGTTTGTTTTGTGCTAGATACCAGGAGAACAGGAGGCTCATTCTCTCTCCTGGAATGTGGGTGGTGTTTTTCCCCCCTACTCCTTTACCTGGACCACTTTTGCTGTGGTTTGATCCACGGAACAGTAATGGGCAGCAGGTGTTTTGATGGACCTCCCATGACACAAGTACAAACCCACGTGCTGTGCTGACCTGCTGTCTCCTTGCCCTTTGTTGATTAGAGTGTTTGATATGTGTAGTATTCTGCTTCTTCTTGAAGTAATTAATCTTTGTGGCACTTCATGTGTGATGGGGGACACTGGGTCTGGTCTGGTTTTATTTGTTTTTTACAGGCAAATCTGTACCTACAGAAACTTAGCTCACATGCACAATGAATGGCTGGAGGGGATTTACTGGCATTTGGATTAACTATACTGTTACATACCTGTGTTTTCTGTTCTTAATGTCAAATATAAGTTGTTAGAAATGTAGCTTAGCCTTGCTGTAATTTCATGGTTTGAACTCCAGCTGGAGATAATGAGGGTTAACATATTGCTGTGTGGGGCAATGTAGAAAAGTGGATGTGATCAGCGTAGCAATAGTATCGCTCATTAATTCCAGCTCTTCTTCTGTTTTTACCTTTGCAGTTGGATATGTTCAGACCTCAGTTTATAGCTGATGCTTCAAGAAATACTGGCAGTTAGAAATGAATGAGAAGTCGTGTTGTGGAAGAGAATAGCTGCTATGTAGAAAATCTAAATCTAGTGTGCTTGAACCCAGGGAGCTTTGCTTTCTTTGGATGGAGTAGCTACCTTGTTTCTTTTTATTTGTTAAAGAGAAGTTTGTCTTAACCATAAATTTATTTGGTTTTGTGGGTAAATTGCTTTAGAAAAGAGCTGGGAGAACTGTTGATAATGCATATACATAAATATGTAACTGACTGTCCTCTCCATTCAATAAACATTTTCTTCTGTAGAACCCTACATTGCGCATTAAATTACTATTATGTGCAATGTTCTTTACTCAGTACTTTTTTATAAACTCAGGATTTAAGCTTGCCCCTTGGTTCTGTTTTCAAAATGTTTTGAAGCATCAGGTGGTCAAAAGAAGCTGCAGACACCGTCTGTATATATTGAGGACGGGAGTGGGAAGACATGGGTGTTAAAAAAGTAAATGCTTCCCTAGGCTCAGAAATACTGCATCAGATCGAGACAGGTGCCTTGGATGTTGATGAGCTTGTAGCTGTTTCTGTAGCACTGATGATCCTGTTATTTCTGAAATCTTAGTCTTGCATATCCTGGATTTGTTTCTTAGCTTGAAGAAGAGAAACGAAGGCAGAAGATAGCAATGTGGGAGAGTATGCAAGAAGGAAAAAGCTATAAAGGAAACCTGAAACTGAATCAGGTAATGACTGTGTTAATTAGGTTACAGTTACCTTTGTGTGACTGATTAGCTAAAATTCACGTTGACCAAATTGTGAGTAACTTTTTGCTTTTGCAAGCAGCCAGAAGTAGAATCTGGTGCCTCATCAGCAGTCCCGAAATCTAAACCAAACAAAAAGCCCTTGCGGGGAGGTGGTAAGTATGAAATCCTTAAAATATTCTGAGCTTGAAACAGAGCATTAATCCAGTTGCATACATAGCCATTGCACGTATTTTTTTCTCTCCTATTTTTTCTCTCCTCCTTGCCTCTGAGCAGTGTGACCTGCTTCGCACTTTGTGCAAAACCTAGCAGGAAGTTTCTGTGGTGCTCTGTCCTGGTGAAGCAGCACTTTAGTCTTCTTATAAATGCTTTTTGACGTAATTTGCTGAGATTGTTGTGATAGATTTTTACAATACTGCTGGGATCTTTCCACCACTATTGTAAAAGTTCTACAATTTAATATCTAGTCTGTCTTTCGATCACCTGTGGTACTAACTAAATGCGGGAAGAGAATATTTTACTCGGTATTATGTAGATTCAGACAGATAAAAGACTTTTATCTGTGACTTTTGAGAGTCACTTGATTGAATGTGTGAAACCTGAAGATACCTGATTAAACTCATTAAACCTCAATAATAGTGTGATGCTGAAATTTCTGCTTTGAATATTTTTCCTGCCAGCTGTTGACAGCATCTGAAGGAACTGGCAGACTGATGATACTTACACTGTTTAAGAGGAGTGCAGTCTAATGTCTGATGCTGTCAGATATCTCTTATGACTCCTGCATGGGATGAGATACACGGGTGATAGCTGTGCTAAGGGCCAGGATCAGGGCAGCTGGGTTGAGGCACCCTTCCAGCTGCTGCCTGTCTTGGTTCCATGCTAAGCAAAATCTTAAGTACCAGATTACAGAAATAGAGGTCTCTGATCATCTCATGAGGTAGATCAGCACAAAGTGAAAGAACCATCTGCACTGTTCAGCTGCTGAATTAAACTAGAAAGCAGAACTTGGCTGGTCTGAGCAAAAGAAGCTTCAAAGGTGGAAATGCCGCTTGAAGTTTCAGTGGAACAGGTTGCTTTGAAAGGCTACTGGGGTTTCAGTTCTGTCTGTCTTTGCCTTGTACAGAACAAATTCAGGATGTTTGCCAAGTTGTATCTTTCTGAGGGCGTGGTGGCAAAAGGAAGTTGCTTGTAGTTCTGGCCTTAGGACTCAAGTAAAATACCCGTTTGCCTCACTGTATATACTTTTCAGGGTTTTTTTGAAAAATCTTACAGCAGTAATCATAGAATCATAGAACGGCCTAGGCTGGAAGGGACCTCAGAGATCATTTTAATCCAACCTCCCTGTCATGGGAAGGGACGACACCTCTCGACTAGATCAGGCAACACGTGCAGACCGAACGGGAATTGAACCCGTGATCTCGGTGTTTTCAGCACCGAGCTCAACCCACTGAGCTAACCGGAGTGGATTTACCTTTTGACCTTCAGAGTATTCCTTGCAGGACTGGAATTAAGTCCATAACTCTTTGAGTAAGAGATATGCTCTTACACAATTTATTGTTAAGAGTTACTGTTGCTGCTCTGTGTACTCTGCAGAAGAGTATTAAAGCTTTAGTGCAGACTTAGAGAAATTAAATAGAAATTAATTCCAATTTAATTTAATCCAAATTGATCAAATTAAAACATGAGTGTTTTGCAATGGCTTTTACTGTTCGCACTGCAAAAATAAACCACCTCAAGCCTGGATATTTTCTCAAAGGAGACCTTATCGCTCTCTGCAACTTCCTGGCAGGAGGTTGTAGTGAGGTGGGTATTGGTCTTTTCTCCCAGGTAACAAGTGATAGGATGAGAAGAAACAGGCTCCAGTTGCACCAGGGCAGGTTTCAATTGGATATTAAGGAAAAATTCTTTACT